TAGCATCTTTTGTATCTCTTGTTTAATAAATTCTTGTTCATTTGTTGGTACTTAATAAGGTTTTGATTGTATTGGGGGTATATTCTCTATGTATATTCTATGGGTAACTAAGTCAGTTCTACCTAGTTCATTCTTTTCATTTGCAAAAAAATCTACAAATTCTGATAATAATTGTTTAAATAATTGTTCTTGTTCTATTGTTAGGAGTTCTATTTCTGGTTGTGGCTTTTGGTCTATAGTATAAATCTCTGTTTCAAATAAAAAACTTTTAGGCTCTGTTTCATCAGGTAGTTTTTCATCTTGCCTAGGATTCTCTAAAAATTTAATTCATTAACTAATGAGAGTAGCTATTGGATTCGCTTATTAGCATGTTGAGAATCATTAATAAGTAGTTGGGGGAGTTGTTTGTTAAGTTGTTCTAATTTTTGAACTCGGTCTTCTAATTGTTGAATCTTTAGATCTTAGTCATTAAGTTGGAGTACTACTTGTTCAAGTAGCTCTTCAAGTTTCTCTTCTTCTGAGTCTTCTGGTATTTCTTCAATCAAAGCACATTCATTACAGGTTCCTTAGTTTCGGTCAAACTCATCTTGATGCCATACTATTAGACATTCATTGCAAAGGTTAACTGCAACTGTAAAGCTTCTTTTTAGATTAGCTATAGCAGCTTGTCTATCAAAATTAGAGTGGCTAATATCTATAGAGTCTTCTAAAGTCTGTTGTAAGATTGTTTCTTCATCGTCATAGAGCATATCTCTTTCTGCTCTTAGTAAGAGTAACATTTCATTCATTGACTATTCATGGTTCATCTGGTCATAGGTCTAGGGTTCAAGGGCTTCTTAAATAGTAAGATCACTTTCCTCAAGTAAGACTTTAGCTAGTCTAAATATTAAGGTTTGATTCAGATTATATGTGCTTCCAGCATATCATGTAGATTCAGTATAATGTTTAATTCTAGTCCAGAGGTTATAGTTATGGTTATAGAGGATGTCAATATAGACTTTGTAAGCATATATGTGTTTTAGATTACAGAACCATAGATCCTGAGCACTACTATCTTCAAATAGTATTTGGGATCTTAGCTCTTCCTTTTTACAAACTTTGCAATTAACAAGAGTTCCTTGTCCTTCACCTTGGTAGAAATATATACTCTATAGATCATCACAATCTAGTCTTTGGTGAAAAGTAGTATAGCAAGATTTAAAAATTAATCTTTGTTCTAATTTAAATAGTTCTGATTCAAATTGAGGTGTAGCACATTGGCAACAATGAAAAACTCAGCGATGACTATAGTAGGAGGATCTCTGTTCCTCAATAGCTTGTCTGTTGTATACACAAGCCAAACTAAGGTTTTGTTGTTTAAGCTTCTTTATAGGGCAATCTACTTCAAGATGTCCTAATTTATAATATCCAAAGTATTAGTTTTGAGGGCATTGTCTATATGTATGATCATTTTGGTTGCAAGTTTTATAGCTTTCTTTTTTAGGTACTTGGTTAGAGCAAAAGGCAGCAATATGTCCTTTCTGATTACATCTACAACAAATATTTTTAGAGCAACCTTTAAAGAGGTGGTTTGTCTGTTCACAAACTCTACAAGGTTTATAAGTGTAGGAATGTTTACGTGAAGGTTGAATTTGCTATCTTTAGTTATTATCAATTGTAGGGGTCTCTTTTACTTCAAAAGAATACAGTTCTTGTGATATTAAGTATTCTTGGTCAAAAATTTCTAAATCTTTTGGGTCAGTAATTGTTGGTTGTTTAGATAAGGGTCAGTTTGATTCATAGGTAGTAGTTGTTGAATATTTCTTATTATTCTATTTAAATAAGTAGTATCCGTTAGCTCAATTATAGTTAGCCTTAATCTTCTTTGACAAATCATTTTCAAGTAATAGGAAGTAGGAAGTAGCAGGTACTACTTCAACTGTAATAGGTATGCGAACACCTTTAATCTCTATAGGAAGATCTTTAATAATTCCAAGTAGTCGTGTAAAGGTTCTAATAGCAGATACAATGAGACTCGTAGAGGTATATTCAATTTTTAGTCCTAGCTCTTTTACAACACTATGAGCAATCATGCTCATAGCAGTACTACTATTAATTATCACTTGGTAAGGTTGGTTCTTAATTTGCACATTACACTTGATAGAAGTAATGTGTTGAAGTAACAAATTTTTATCTTTAGCTTCCTTATACAAGTATGCAGAGAAGGCATTCCTAATAGAAGTATTAGCAAGGAAGGCTTCCTATTGGTCTTGAGTTATTTGAGGTTCTTAGTTATCTTTTTTGTCATTATATAAGTAATTAACATTTCTAGGGTAAGAGGATAAGGCTCTTTGGTATTTATTTTTTCTGTTGGATTCTTGTAAATGACTTCGGCTTCTATTGTCTCTATTCCAGTTTTGATAACTTCTTTCTTGACTTTGTGATCGATCTCTTCTTTCCTATTGGTTATC